GCCCTGAGACAGCTATTTGCAGTATCCTTTTATGAAAAAGGACTGGACACAAGGAGAAATTAGGGATGGTCTCAACTGGCATCACAGTATATCACAACTCCAGTACCAGGTTCTTTGTGAACTTGACATTCATATTTGTGTTTGAACATGCATTCCAGATTTGTATAACAGCATTGCAGAATGGCTGCTCAATGTATTTCTGAAATTAAAAGTTTGGGTAATCAGTAATGGAAGACTAACCAATTTTGTTGAAACCCCAGACAACTCATTCCTCTTAGCTGTCATACTTCAGGATCGGATAATTAATAAATGATGTGGTTTTGCTTCAGAAACCTCATCTCTCCTCATGGTCCTTTTAACATATCTCATACATACAAACAATAAAGAGTCAGACAGATTTATAAAAATAGAGCACCATTTAATGAGGCCATCCTTCAAGAGGATCAAAGAATGAAAGGGCTGAATCGATCCTAAGCCTTCTCCATTTTCATGATTTATCTTCATATTTTTTCTTAAGAAGACAGATCTTTAATCAGTTTCCAACATAAACAATTTCAAGTAATTCTCAACACCTGTGAGAATGATCCCACTATACTTCTTGACTCTTACATGATACTTTTGTACCAGCACTGCAAGAAAATCAACAAATGTAGTTTAAATGAAAAGAACCAGGATATTAAAAAATAGTAAAAGAAGAATTTTGCCACCTTTAAATTGATAAATTGCTTTTACTAAGTAAAAATAAAACAAACAATCAAAAAGGAAAATGGCCCAACACAGGTATATGTATAGATGTACCTGCACCATACTACTGTTAGGGGTCAACGGAAAAAAATAAGTATCTGTGTGAATAGAAACTGATGAAAAACTCACTGCTATTTATAGGTATTTCTTTATCCAACCTTTTGCTTAAAGTTGACTTTAAGTCTGCCATACCACAGGGCCACCCTTAAAATAATAGTCTTTCTTCATATCATCATCCTCTTTTCTATTAATATAATCATTTATCTCATTTTTACATGACTTTCCACATTTCAAACAGTCTTCTTCACTGTACCCAGAGTGTGTCATTTCTGAAATAACTATCATTCTCTTAGAAAGACAAACATGGTATGTTGAAACTCATCTTGAGCTTTTTGCTTGGCAGTGTGAAAATAATGCTGACTAACATTATAAAAGACATGATTTCAGAAAGTAACAAAACAAAACAAATATGGCATTAATTTTAGACCTTTCCATAAAAGCAAATATCTCTATGTATGCAATAATAATGTTCACCCTTATTGGTTAAATACCACAGAAACAAAATAATTCTAACGGGTCACCAAATATTTATTGCATAATCACTGCCATAATTTCAAAATGTGTATCCCGCTGTCCTCTTAGTAGTACTAATAAATTGTTGACTATGACAAATGCTTTGGTTTAATACACAGAATATTTGTGGAGCAATAAAGCAGTGCCCCAAGGCTGTCTGAACTGCAAACTCCCTGCAATTAGACTGACAGCAAAGTCTACTGAGCTCTGCTTTTCTGTTCAAGGTCACAATTAATTATATCATAGTGACATTTGTGCCTATTGAGCTTTCACTGTCCTGGGGGCTTTTGCAGAAATAATCCTTCAAAGCAATAAAATTAGTGGAAAGTAATATACCAACCTCCCTGGCATCAATGAGAAAACAAAGATCAAAGGTCAGTTTTCAAAAATAAAACATATTATAAGCATACAGGAGCTCTGAGATGCTATGACAAGCCCAGAAGCTGAACGCCAAGAACAGGAATAACCCATCAGGGCTAAAAGCAACTGAAAGTCCTGCTGATAAAAATCACAGGAATCAAAAGTGCAAATGAATCCCACCTCTCCTTATGCTAATCCATGATGATTTGAGAGGCTTAGGGGTAATTCTCAACTTCCCACACCTCTGGTTTATCCATAATGAAGAGCACTTCAGATAGGACTTGTGGATATGATGCCTGTTAATTTCCAGGTAGGTTTTCCTCTGTTCCAATTTTGTAAGGTAAGAAGGCATTATTTTTAAAAAGCCACAAAAGTCACACAAGTCACACATACTTTTACCAGTAAATGGCTTTATATATATAAATTACCAGTAAATGGCAATATATATATATATATATATATATATATATATATATATATATATTCTCTTGAGAGAGAGAGAGAGAGAGAGAGAGAGAGAGAGAGAGAGAGAATGTGTGTGTGTGTGTGTGTGTGTGTGTGTGTGTGTGTATTATTGAGCAACTTAATTATTTTTCTAGAAACAACTCTCTTACAGGAGTAAAAGCAGTTTTTTTTTATCTTTGTAGGAAGATACTTTCTTAATGAATGGGAAGAATGAGAAAGGAGCAAGCATCTGCTAGTATATAGTAAGCACTCCATAAATGACCTCTTCCCTGACATTCACCTACTCACTGTAGTAGAACACATACTCACAACCTCACATGTCCGAACAGTTTCTACTTAGAAGCAGAGCCTAAGTACAAACCTACCCAGTATAAATTAAGAACAAAGCGAGCAAGCTATTGTAGACTGAACAAGAAATCAGTTAGTAGTGCAGTGTTCAAAATAGGAGGGTATGTTGAACCCAATTCAATGCATCCTTTTTTGGAATATCTGCCATATATCAAATAAACACTGTGTGTGGGGGAAGTGAGGGAACAAATTTTTCAGTAATACCACAATGATGCTTCACCTCTGGATTCAGTCTCCAGTAGAATAAATGTCATTTATTTCACTGATGTGCAACACAGTGCCTGTTACATTAATTCATCATGAAAGACTACAAGCAATTGAAGTAATTACATGAATGATCTTATAACCTTGACTGGCAATTGTGTGGTGGCAGGACTCTGCCCAGAGCTTACGAAGAGTTAGTATGATGCTATATTTCATTTTCCTCCATAAGACAAAGTCAAAATCTGTCACTGAAACTAGATGTTCCTGCTGACCCTTAACAAATGTGCATCTTAAGTATTGATCAACCGATCAATTAGCATCTGGGTTTCAGGTTTATTCAGCGTGAATACTGATATCAATTAGGTGGCCATGAATTCATTACAACCCCATTTTCCATCTTGCTACTGCTCGTTGTTAATGTCCACTCCTACCCCACTCCCTACCTACTACATGGAAGCCACAGAGAAGTAGGATCCTCTTGTACCATTATACTAAGCTGGTCTTTTTTAATTTTCCCACAGAATCCTGGCTCTCCATTATTTGGCTAAAGTCTATTGCTATTCTTAGGAGCTGAACAGTCCTTTGTGAATTGGCCTGGGAAAGTAAGCATCATCATAGACCATTGTTTAAAGTTCCATACAAGGAATTTTCAGAATGACTTTTACAATTCATCTCATTCTTCAGCTTGAAATCCCTCTATATTTGCAGAAAATATCTCTTATTCGGGAAAAAAAATTGCACCTACAGAGGTACTTTTCTTCCCTGTGAGAAAAGCAGAATTTCTATCAAAAATTGGAACTGGTAATATTAATTGCTTACTACCTATTACCAACTTCCCTCTTCTTTCACCCAATGCAATAGCCAAATTACCATCAGAATTAAGTATGGTTTAATAATGTGGATAGAGAAAAATAATTAAATGGCTCCTCAGTAATTAAGAAACTACAGAGCAGGTTTTCAATGGAAATGTATCTCACCATCTCTTTTGGATTAACACCATTAGTGCCAGCAGGGGAAAAAAATGCTGGCCACTTGAAGCACAAGTAATCTTGGTAACACACTTATTTGTATAGAAATATATGTCCACATTAATGTGAAAATTGATTCCAGCCATTTGGGTTTTATAGTACTTAGTATTTTCTAAAGTTTATTTATAGGTAAACCCAATGATTGAACCCAATTGGACATAAATAATCCATCATTTCTGCCTAAATTGGTGCAAAGGGATCCCTTGGCCCCTATTCTAGTGGCATTGGTCATCATGTCAGAACAAATTAATAAGATATTGACTCTGTATGGTCTCTTGTAAATTCACCTCCAGAACTGTGAAAGAGCTAGCTGATTTCTGGGAGTACACTATAACTACTAAAATATTATCTAACACAGAGCAGAAATAAACCTTAATCAGGCCACTCAGGCCCAGGTCTAACAAAAAAAATCTCCTTTCTATTATCTCATTCTACCTTGCCTTTGTGCCTTAGCCACCGGGTCCCCACACACCTCTCCTATACTAATAGAGTCAATGAAAGATAATGCATTTCATCATGAGAGGGCTTTCTCTCCTGGCACCATCTCTGACCCTTCTGATAAGTGCTCTCTAGATGGTTCTCACAATAGTGCTGTAGTTTAGCAGGTAAGAGTTCCTAAAAAGGTAGAAAAATGAGGCTTAAGTACAACCCATAAGTATTCAATTCCAGCTTCTTACTCAGAAGCTCTCTAAACCCATTTAAAAAAACATATTAGCACAATCCTTTCTTGATATTTTCCACTAATTCCTTCAACAACACCCTTGAAGAGTCAGACCAAAGATCACAGCTGCCTCATGACTCTCTTCCCAGGCCAGCTGTAAAAATGAGAAGGCTTACATTGAAGTTCCCCAGGGACACGACACTGGAGAATTTCAAATGCCAACCATGACATCTAATGGCAGGAGAGCAGGTGTTCTCTTTTGGGAGCACTCCTACTTGCTCCATGACCTCAGAGGTGCCCCATGAAGCACACCTCTCCCTGGATCTCAGAAAACTGTTCACCTGAGGTCAGGTCAGCAGGTCACCAGAAGTCAAGAGTAAGAGAGCAAAGCAGAATCCTTTGCCAACCTATTGGACAGATTCATTCGGACTACTATAAATAAAACCAACTGCTAATGAAATCCAGACCTTTAGTAACACTTGGCTATATGGCAGGATTTACTCCCATGAAGTGATATATTATTTTATCTCCTGAAACACATTCATTTTCAATTAAAAAAAAAATCTCACCAAACATAAACAAAAAAGAGCAAGTGAAAGAAAATGTACTTGTATTACCTTCTTCTGATCTTCTAGCTTGTGGCTCACCGGATTCTTCCCATGTCTGTTCATCTCTGAAGATAAATCCATCACATTAGGTTCTCGCCCTTGAAAGTGGAATCTCTTCAAAACAGCAGCACACTAATCCAAGATGCAATCGCTAGGAAAACACTGGCATGCCACAGGTCCCATCACACACCATTGCTGAACTTCATCCACTCCAAGGAGCGATGAAAAAATCCATTGAGTGAATGGAAAAACTGAATTTTGCAATTTACTCCCAGGACTTTCCAAATCAACATATCGTTTCTAAATGCTGACGTCTCAAAAGCACAATGTTCCTCCTGGAATTTTAACTCCAACTGCTATCTTTTTCTTTCTTCACAGTTTTCCATTTTGAAAACTACACAGTTCCTATAAACATATGATAAAATAAAATAAGCACACAGTTAATTCTCCCCATCACTTAAAGTACAATTAATATAAAATCTTATCTCAAAAGTCCAATTTAGAAAAAAAAATTAGGCATTGGTTATAGCTCACACAAAAGCAGTAGCAAATGAAAGGCATTATTTTCACCCCTGCTGCCTTTAAAATAACAATTGTAACTCCTGAACTAAAACAGAATATTAAAACCAGGAAATCAAAGCACACTGAGGCTAAAAATTGATAGGGAATACACATACACTCAACCAGCATGTGTATATGCTCCCTAGTTTCACTCACTAATTATAGCATTCATAGAACTACAGAATTTAGAAAACAGCCCAATAAAGCTAAAAATGGTGCTACAGTAATTCTTTTCATAAAAATTTCATTTAAATTTAAAAATCAATTTATAAAATGCTTATTATTACTCTATTTTAAGATACTAGTGAGAAGTTAATTTTTTTAAATCAAATTAATAGTAAATAACAGTTAGAATTCAGATAGTTTTGAATCTAAAGCCCTTATTTTGTTCCAGACATACCTGTCTCAATTTATATTACATATTTTATCTGCAGGATACCATAAATGACTTGTCAAGTACCTTGCTGAATTAAAAATGCACAAGGTTGTCCAGCCAGCGTGGCTCAGTAGTCGAGCGAAGACCTATGAACCAGGAGGTCATTGTTCAATTCCTAGTCATGCCACATGCCCAAGTTGTGGGCTTTATCCCCAGTAGGAGACTTGCAGGAGGCAGCTGATCAATGATTCTCTCTGGTCATTGATGTCTCTCTCTCTCTCTCTCTCTCTCTCTCTCTCTCTCTCTCTCTCTCTCTCTCTCTCTCTCTTCTTCTCTGAAATCAATAAAAAATATATTTAACAAAGAAAGCACACACAAGGCATTTTCCTTAAAGGGATCGCATAATCCAGTAATTTCCAAACCCAGATAGAAAACTGAATCACCTGAAAATAATCTTAATCATATAGATTCCTGGGATCCACCAAACTGGTAATTCAGAAGCTACAGAGTAGTCCTTGGAAATCGGTACTTTTCTTCCATCTCTTCTAGACACTCTGATGCAGGAAAACCTCTGAGGGGTTGAAACCTCCCTCTGATGCAGGGCTTCCCAAACTTGTCTGGATTTTGGAATCACCTAGGAAGCTTCAAACACTACTGATTCTTGTGCCCAGGCCCCAGACAGGGTACTTCATTAGTCTTCGATGTAACCTGAGATCAGAACCACTGCCTTCACACTACGTAAATGTCCTCTGTATAACTGACTAACCCCAGCTTGAATGCCTGAAACAAGAGGAATCATAGTGCCTCAGGCGGCAGCTCTGGTCTGTAGATAGCTCATTCTAATTTGGAGGTGAAGTCTGCATTCTTGAATATTTCTGCGCATAGCCATTGGTGTACACAAACATTTTTTTTTTTTTGCCTTTTTATCTGAAAGTTCTTCAAGTATCGCTTTAGCCAGGTTAACTATCCTTAGCCCCTTCCATGAGTCCTCACCACCCTGGTCACTTTCCTCACAATAAGTTTCCTTTGCATATAACCGTTCTGCCCAGAAGTGAGCACAAGGGACAGGCATCACATGCTCCCTCCATGCAGACAGATTGCATTTAAAAAACAGCTCCTGAACTGCCTTTGTTCCTCTCCATGCACTGCTTCTTGATCAGCCACCCCCTGCCACCACTAGCTGCTTCTTTAAGTCCTCAGCTCTGCTGCATAGGTTTTTGGTTTTTGTTTTTTTAATTCACACAAAGATCTATATTGGGCAAAACATCTTGGCAGCATTTTGTGAGCTGTGCCCATTTGAAAGTAATAAAAGTGGCATTTCTGGAAAAGTAACCCATAGTTCACATTATTCGCTGCCCCTTCTATGAATGCAAACCAAGGAGAATTCATTGTAAATCTTGAAAAAAATTCTCTGCCATATAAAGGCTCCTGACTATTGCTTTAAGTAACATAAGAACAGGAGTTGGGAAGTGTTTACTAGTCCCATATTTTTAAATTATTAGAAATAGATAAGCAAAATCTGGTCACTCATATGCCCTCTTCCACCTCCACCACCCCTGCAATCACCACAATGTTGTACATGTCCATGAGTTCTCTCTCTCTCTCTTTTTTTTTTCATTTCTGCTCAATCCATCCACCCTCCCCTAAACCCACCTCCTCCAGCAGAAATGCAGTTTGTGTACTAATGTGAATGTCATGGTCAAAGCAAATAGCATGGGAAAAGCTTGGATCTAAGAGAAAATATGGCCAATTTGAGGAACTCAAAGGAATTCAATGAGGAGTGGCTGGAAAATGTTAAGAAGGAATGTAGCATAATAGAATCTGTCATTTTAAAAGTTCATTGCACTGCAAATTGGAAAATAGATGGAAAAGAGCAAAACTGTGATAGGGATCTATTTATATAAAAGCCCAGCGACCAGAACAACTGGAAGGACCAGTGGCTATGACATGCACTTATTCCAGCCAAATGGCCTGGTCCAAGCCCGAGATCAACCCCTCCTCCAACTGCCCAAGGCCCCTCCCCCCATCTAGCCGCACCTCTGATTGCCCTTCCCCCAACCTGATCAAGGGTGAGGCTGGTGGGCCAACTTCCCACAGTCCCTTTACTCTGCTGGCCTAGTCAATGGGCCCCTATTGGGACATGCCAGCCGAACCCTATCTGTGCATAAAATCATGCACTGGGCCTCTAATATCTTAATATGGACCACCAGAACAATAAAAGAAAGAGCATCCTGAACTGGCAAAGGAGTTTATGGTATGAAAAAGTAAGAAAACTGAGTGATATGGTATTTAAAAGGTGAAAGTTGTCAGAATTGGAGTGTGGGTGTGGGGTTTAAGAGTGCACAAGCATATGGATGATGATACCATTATCTAAAGCAGCAAATCTCACAGGAGAAGTACTCTAGACAGGGGAAGATAAAGAAGTTTGTGAAGCAAACAAAAGAGGTTTTCTAAAAACCTAGAAAATTACACGCCAATTTCATTGATGCACATAGAAGCAAAAATCCTAAAGTAATATTAAGAAACTGAAACGAGCCCTGGCTTATTTGGCTCAGTGGATAGAGTATCAGCCTGCAGACTGAAGGGTCCGGGATTGATTCCAGTGAAGGGCACATGCCCAGTTTGCGGACTGAATCCCTAGTAGGGGAGGAGGTGTTGGGGGCAGCCGATCAATGATTCTCTCTCATCATTGACGTTTCTATTTCTCTCTCTCTCTCCCTCTCTGAAATCAATAAAAAAAAATATTTAAAAAAAAAGAAATTGAAACCAGTAATATATAAAATAGCTTTCCCATAAATTCTAGTTGGCATTATGGCAGAAGTAAATGATTGGTTCAAGATTTGAAAATCGATAAAAACCTATTAAAAAAAGAAAGGCAATTTCATGCATGCAGCATTAATTAATAGAATGTCCATAGGCTGTGAAAAGCACCAAAGGCAGAACTCCAGGGGAAAGATCCACCTTGTCTTAGGTAATATTGCTAAATTCAACCCTTAAAATGCAAATGTGATCCTACTACCTAATTAAAATTCTTCAGTGGTTCCCTAATATCTAAAGCCCAAAAATTAATAAAAATAAGTAATTCCTTAGATTGTCTTTCAACACTCTACCCATCATGATCCTGTATTAATTTTCCAGCTTCATATAACTACTTTCTATATTCTGTTGTAATTATACCATGAAAACTTAAGAGTTTCTGAGGACAATATGTCACTTCATATCTCAAGCACGAACATATCCCTAAGTGCCATACAAGCCAATTGGCAAACTCTCACTTATCCTTTAAAAGTCTCTTCAAATCCATTTTATTTCTGAAGGCTTAACTTTTTTTATGCCTCTAACCCCACTCCAGACAAGTCAGGTCTTTCTTCCCCAATGTTCTATGAGCATCTATAGATTTCCTTGGTAGTATCATGCTTGTCTAGTTACTTGTCCCCCACTACATTGTCAGCCCCTCCTGATGTTCACCCAAAGTATGGCACAATGCCTGAAGGCTAACCATCATCATTCATAATGTGATTATTATGATTCTAAGGAAAACATGGTGTATGTATGTGTGTGTGTGTTTGTGCACACACAATAATTTAATACATATTTTAAAAAGTTGTAACAAAATTGTCTCACTCTATCTAAACATGTGCAGTTTAGAAAAGGCTCTTTCTGAACTTGCTATTTTAGCTATCGTCTTTCTAACTGAAGCACCACATGCATGGATAAAGCATAAAAATCTTAAGTGTACAGTCTATGACATGCTCAGTTAACCAACACTCATTATGATACAGAGTATTCCCCCTCTCCCTTAATAGTCCTAAAGGTAACCACTACTCTGTTTTATCACCACAGATTCGTTTTCTTTGTCCTTGAAACTTCATATTAAGTGGAATCATACAGCGTATATTCATTTATTTCTTCTTTTTTCCAATATTAAATCACGAGGGTCCATCTGTGTAGTTGTAAGTAGCAGTCATTCATTCCATTCTTTTGCTCTATGGTGGGAATTGTGGTATTTATATGTAACAATTCATATAATTGACCAAAATAATGCCCAATTCAACATTGAGATTTTCTGTCATCCTGAACTCCATGTTCTAGTTCAGGCTTTTTGGACGCTATGCTTACAAAGCAAAACAATAAAAGTTTGCTT